TGCATTACTTAGGCCATAAACTGACTACTGCAAGAAAGCACAAAGAACGAAGTTAAATTTTCTCAAATCTACCATTTTCCTGGATAGATATAGCTTTGCTTTGCTTTTAACAAAGAATAAATTTATTTTCAACGACGAGTATTTATCCTAATTCCACCCAGCTTTCTTTCACATGGCATACGTCATACCCAGGTCAGAGACATAGGTAAGAAAAGTCTGAGACTGGAGTGTTAGAGAAAACTTAAAGCCCACCCTGCAGCACCCGCCCTGAAGCTCCTTAGAGCTTACAAAGGGCACTAGCACCTCACTTATACACCAGCAGTTCAATGTGGGCAGAGCAGGGGACAAGCAAATTCTGGAGGGTAGGAGGCAGGAGGTGTCCTTCCTGTCAAAGTAGGAACCACCTTTAGAAACTGAAGCTTCAGGCTGAGGGAAGGCAACCATACAACCATGACATTCATTTCAAACATGACTCCATAAATAAATTTCTATTCATCAGGCAAGGTGCCCTGATTTTACCATTTTGACTCAAAAGTCATTTTTATTTTATGCTGTGAATAATGAATTTGCAGGACTTGGGCCCATGTTTCAACCCATAAACATCAGGAATCTTCAAGCAGGGTTCCAAAGTTATTTGTTTATCTAGGCAGTGGCTGAAAGCAGAGGGGCTCTAATACAGAAAGCCAGGGTTTAAATCCCGACTCTGCCCCATCCTAGTTGTGTAGGCAACTTGCTAATCCACTTGAGTGTATCATTTCCTTGCCTATAAAATGGTTTATTCCGAAGATTAATAAGTAAAATATGGATAAACAGCTAGAACAGTAACTGTCAAATAGCAAGCACTCAATAGAGGTTAGTTATCACAACCAGTGCCCGCGGGAAGACTCTAAGAAAAGGACACAGCTTCCCTTACATCTAGTCAAGACTCTAGCTGGACAGAGGGCTTGCTGGATCTCAGATGCCATTTACAGGAAGCAAATGAAATTCAAATACAGCTAATAGCCCCCTCTCTTACTGTGTAATTATGTACTAATTATTTGTATAGCATGTTATTTAAATGTCCCTAATTTCAGCCCCAGTAGGCCAAGAGTCCTCAAAGAGTGGCCACAGCCTCAGCCTTTGCCAGCCCTTTCCTAAGCTTTTGTCAACCTATTAGAGCCAGAAAAAGTGGAGTATCTACAGCAGGAAGTAAACAGAAGGCTCACAATCAGCAAAAATCTAAGCACTGTCTCCTAAGCCTGCCCATAACCAACAAGCTGTAATGATGGTTCAGTTCCTACACAGACAATCCACGAGACCATTCAAGACTCACATTCACTGCCTCTAGAAGGACAAAAAATTTCAGTCCCTGTCACTTTAAAACCACAAAAGCAAGATTGATGGCAAACATGGATTTTACTATCTTGTGTCTGTTCCCATTATTACTACTACACTAGACCTGCAGAAATGGGGCAGCTGAGCTCAGCGGCTCAGCTACAAGCTGCCACTGTTTGAACACTGTTAACAGATACCAGACCCCCAACCAGCCTCACACAAGAGAGAAGCGCAAGGGGCTGTTTGTTCAGCATCCTAGCATGCCAACAACTTAGCGGAAGTGATGTCAGTCAATTCAAATCAGATACAAAATTATGCCAAGCCCATTCTATTGTTAATGCCAAATATTATTTTGAAATTGAATTTTCCCCGGAAACTCTGGTAGGATCAATCACCCAGAAACATCTTTGTTTAAAAGTTAATAGGAGAAAAAATAAAACACCTTGTTTTCAATACTACTGTTGCAAAGATATAATTTTCATCCAGCATGTGTGCTAAAATAAGTACTGGATTCAAAGTTACACAACTGGAACTGCAACTCCAGTGCTACTTCTGTATAATAAATGAGTGAGAGTTAGGAAAGCCACTATCACACACAACATAAAGCCCCAGAAGGATGTTTATTCAGCCTACAGGTGAAAACACCAAGGTGAGCATACTCACAGGTATGTCACTACCCAAGGTTCCCCAAGTGATAAAGCATGAGAAGGGGGGGGGACAGGAACAGAAGCCGCCCCTCACATTACCTGGGGAATAGGAACATGCTCTGGCCCATGTGCTGTCCAGTTTCATACCCCACCTCCCAGAAAGGCTCTGTACTGGATGGTTTCAAAACTTTAGCATCAGGCAAATTTCTGTTACAATTAAAACAGGACCAGTGGAATTATTTCAATTTCTAAAAAAGAACTTCAAGGGGTTGGGGGACTGACAATAACATACATACATACATACATACATACCTTGTGTGACTGTTAAAACCACTCTCCCTCCACTACCTTACCTTCACTTGCCCACAACGAAGAACCCCGAGATTGTATGCTGTGATGTACAGCTTAAGACAGGGTCACTCTATTGCACAGTATATGAATGATGATCTATTATAAAGCATCCATTCAAGCTCAAGTGATACACTCACATACACATTCAGAGCAAACACTGCTTGCAATCATCCCTACTCCCAACCTCATTCAACCAAAAAAGTCTTGAATGCTCCCTGCTATTTCAAGCTCATTCTGGATCACACCCTCCTAGAGAGCACTCCTGAGATTCTGGGTCCTACAGGAGTTATTCCCATGGTAACGATTCTGTTTTCCTGTGCTTTCCAGTAGCCCCCAAACAGGAAAGCACACTTGAACATGTTAGCAGCCTTTAAGAAAATTCTTCTTAAAACACACTTAAGTTCTGAAACACAGTGTTTACTTAGAACTGCTATTGAAATGCAATATACAGAATAACAAAAAGGTGGCCTTGGAGTGCTGCCTGCACAAACACCAACAGGAACCAGAAAAAGGCATATTCCCAGCAATTTCACAAACAAAAATGGGAAGTGTTAAAAAAAAGAGTCAGTCTTTATCAGGGTGAAAGACAAACTAACACGACAAAACTACCTTTTCTTTATGAAGCTGGTACAAGAATTATTTAAAGCCTTCAATGATCCCAATAGAGATGTCTTTGACAACTTTTCTTAGAATTCTTTCCTTCACATTGTCAAGCCCTGGACTACGCCAATAAAAATGAGAGCCACATTTAGCCAACTAGCTGGCAGTGCTCATTGCTTCTTGAATGACTTGCTTTAGTTTTTGTTCTTCCACCCAAATTCCATGTCTATTCAGTCCTGGACACCTGGCTAACTTCTATGTCCTAAAAGCTGATTTTCCCCAATTAGGCTGTCTTTTTAATTAAGAGATTCCCAGAGCAGTAAAGCATTACTACTTGTAAATAGCAGAATGACAGCATTTCTTACCACAACACCAAGATCTAAACCCACAACAGCTACTGTTCTACTTTAACTACAGAATTCAATGATATTCTCCCCCACTACCCTCCCAAAAATCTTAAGCAAAACACTGCTCCTCGACTTATTTTCATTTGGGTTACGTACAAATAAGATATTTTCAGTTAACAATAGGTTTAAGTTGAAAATGCATTTAACACACCTAACCTCACATAGCTTACCTTAAATATGCTCAGAACACTTTTAGCCTACAGTTTTGCAAAATGTTGTAACAAAATCCATTTTAAAATAATGTGTTGAGTATCTCATGTAATGTATTATGTACATCACTGTCACACCATCGTTAAGTTGAAAAATCGTTAACTCAAACCATCCTAAGTTGGGGGACCATCTGTATTCAATGTGAAGCAATGACAAGAACTATCACACCAAATGTTCTCCAAATAGACACAGGGCATATAGTTTACTGTATTACAGACAACCAAGGAATATATGGGATCGCTGTCAGAGATCCACTGGGGCCCAAACTGTATACTTGTGGCAACAGATTCCACTACTTATTTTACTTCTGCAAATGTAGAAATTTAAGAAGGGCCTTTCCCATTACATGCTGGCTCAGAATTCAGGGGTTCTTGTTTCACACCACACAATGCTAGAAGAGAGTGAAAGAACATGGGTGGACGGCAGGGAGGTCATCTCACCAAATCCAGCCGCAGCTCTGTGGAAACAGGGCAGCAACAGGTCCTGACTGAAAGCACCTGTTCCAACAAGAGACCTCCAGACAACTCACCTTACAACTAAGCAGGCTGGAAAGAAACTGGGAGCCCTAAGTGAGCCCGTCACTCTATATCCTGGAAAGCTGTCGAGTACCCACAAGTGATATAACTGTTACCCCAAGACCAGCGCAAAGATTCTAAGAAAGAACAGCATCTCCTCTTCCTCATATATCTGCTCCAAGCAAGTACAAACCAGAACATAGTCGACTCACATTATCTACAATTCTAAGAGATTAGCAAGTACCAGACAGACTGTGGAATGCCACCACAGCCACATCCCCTAAAAAACCAAACGTTAGTTCTGAAATGTTTTTTGTCAGATGAGTTCATCTGAATCATACTAAACCCCATTAAAAAGAGACATCAAAATACATTCTGATAGGAGCAAGTTTCCTTGCAGGTTTCAAGGATCCTTTCAATAACCATTCAGGAAGAAGTACACTTCTGGACCCACAAAAATTCTATGCCACTGTATACTCGCTGCCAGGTAGCAACCTGCCCAACCTGATCAACATAAAAGGAAGCAGGTACTTAGGAGGCTGCTGCGTCAGAAAGCTGGGAGAGCAGTGGGCACACTGTAGATTTAGGCTACTTCCTTTACAGACAGGAGGTAAGACCTAACGGCTCCACACTGCAGCAAGATCATCAAAGCCTTCTGCTGTCATACTTGGGTATGAAGCAGATATTCACAGAAAAACCTGTAAAACAGGCTCCACATTCAACCCAGCATCTAGCAAGAAATCAGATTTGGAGCCCAGTGTATAGGGAACGAATGGACTATTTGCCAATTATATTGAGCAGTAGGTGAAGAAAGATGAAAATGAATCTATAAACTCAACAGGGTGTCCAGAATAAATGACCTGGTAAGAACCTAGCTTAAAAGCACAAGTTGCAAAAAACACATTCAATTCAGAAACAAGGCCGTGCCCAGAGATTCCAACAAATATTCATCTCACCGTTCACTGTTTTCAGGCTCCCAGCAATGCCTTCACCATGCTGCCTCTTCTGGGCATTCTTGAACTCCTTCAGAGACAAGTAAAGGACTTTACGTACCACCCTTTCTTCTGACCATGGAATCCCATCACTGTCATCCTAGAGAAACAGAAATGAAAGAAAGGGGAATTACTTAAAAGAAAGCAGGTAAATATTGAGTCAAAATAAATTTTTTAAAAACTTCAAACAAGTATTGTGTGATCAAGACATGGTCCAGGAGATCAATATTATAGCATATGGCTAACAGACAGCCCTGGCCCTTCCAACATCTGGAGAGACCTCAAGCAAAAAGTTAACCCAGACTGTACAAGGGACTGAAAAACAGACAAAAACAACTCACTTTCCTTAGTTACCCACATCCAAAGACCTTCATTAATGGAGAATATGGAAATTTTCTATTCCTGGCAAAGTTCACAAAAAGCAGTTATTACACTCACAACCTGGGGTGTAATAATGAGCCACTGTGCTGGGGTTTTATAAAGGAAGCAATGCCAAAATGTATCCTGCCTTGCAAATACGTAGTTCACTGGTTTCCAAATTCTTGTTGTTGTCCTTGGGGTGGTGCTACCTCCAGGAAATTTACAATTCAGTCAGAAGAAATGAACTTGGATCAGCAATAGGTTCTTAAGGAAGTCACAAATGAACGAGAGAGAGAGAGAGAGAGAGAGAGAGAGAGAGAGAGAGAGAGAGAGAGA